ACGTGGAATTAGAACAGTCTACCCCAGTGAGCGAAATAAATGGTTCGGTTCGACATTCCAACCACCTGAAGAAGGCCGGAGCGTACAACGGCCGAAACTTTGTGATAGATATGGCGAAAAAGATGAGGACAATAGTCCGAATAATGTAAATAATTTATATATAAATGATTATATATATATATATATATATATATATATATATATATATATATATATATATATATAATGTTTGTTTATATATACATATATATGTACTCCGTTTAAGTTAAAATTAACGTTAAGAATCTGTACGAGAGGTAACTTAATTTATTTAAATAATTTTGCGACCGTGACGAGCGAAAATAACGTATAACCTAGGGTCGCAAACTCACATCAATCCAACTAAATATTTTAGCTCTATCACTGATATTGCGCTCTTTCCAATAAGTACCGCGCATATATATATAAATAATATATAAAAATTGCATATATATATATATATATATATATATATATATATAATGTCTAGTCATGTCTTGAGAATGTCTGATGACAGGATACCCATGTTCCTAATGTACAGCCAGTTAGATCAGGGCTACAGGAATGTAGGACGCCCATGGCTAAGATACAAAGACAAGCTGAAAAACAACTTGTCAGCTGTCAATATACCACATAAAACCCTTGAGCGCTTAGCTTTGGAGCGAGTAGAATGGAGATCAACGTGTTTTAGTGGACTCAGCAATTTTTAATCTGCTTGTCTGAATCTACTTCAAGAAGAGTGAGCAAGATCTAAAAGGTCAAACAATCTAACAGTGATCTCGTCTCACAATCCTCACACTTGCTCCATATGTGGCCTCCTTTGTAAATCACTAGCGGGTCTTAAATGCCACTTAAGATTAGCGCATAAACTTTCATAACTGAATCAGTAAGCTGGCAGATCCTCATACGTCGAAACCGACTGGAGAGTCCATTATATATATATATATATATATATATATATATATATATATATATATATATTATGTACTATTTTAATAAAAAAAAATAAAAAAAATATATTTGAACAAACCGATATCAAAGAAAAAAAATCAGTAAAAAAATAAAAGACTAAAGACATCCATTGGTGGAAAATAATCAATCAACACTGCAATGCCTAATCAAAAGAAAATAAATCACTGACACTGTGTAAAAACGTAAAAGTGCTCAATACACTAAGTAGAGGAAATCTAAAAAAACCTAGTGAGCCAGAACCTATCTACCAAGTTTTCACCTATCGAATCTACAGAGTACTACTGTCGTACTAGGTTTATATATATATATATATATATATATATATATATATATATATATATATATATTTATTATTATTATTATTATTATTATTATTATAGAATAGAACAAAAACATGTTGAAATCGCTTTCGTGTTTCGACAACTTTGTACCTCTTCAGGCGATTGTAAGCAAAGTCTTACCTCTTTTCCAAAAGATAAAGGGAGGGTGAAAAAAAACACAAGGTCAAAATATAAAATACACAGAAATTTAAGAAATTTAAGTGGGGATCAAGCTGCGTTCCCCTTTGTAGCGGTAACTACTGCTTGATCTCTCATGCTTCACCGTTCGGCCACGAAATACTTTAGTTTCTCTTAGAAAAGGGGACGCAAATTCGATCCCCGCAGGAGGATACATTTTGTTTACTGATAATTCTCGAATAAACAGGTTGATATACACGTAATACACACTGTTTAATAAATAAAAAATATGGGACATCTATTTCAGTTATGAAGTGTCCATTGTGATAATTCTTTTGTTTTTGTTTTCAGTTTCACCCTATACAAGGCACGGAAGCCACTCGAGGTAGGGGATTACAGAGTAAGAGGCAGAATTTATGCGAATATCTGGTAGGCAAGGTTTAGGAGAGAAAAGAAAAAACAAAATTTACTAAGTATCTCTTAGTACAGGGCCCGAGAGCTATTCAAGGTAGAGGTACAGTTTAGGCGGATATGAGGGAGGAAATAACACTAGACTTTAAAAGGTTAGGATTGTAGCGATTGGGAAAACATCTTCTTGGGAGTCGGTTCCACAGGGAAGTGGTTCGTGGGAAGAAGCTGTTCGAGTGGAACTTACTTTTTACTGATGGAATACGGAAGGAATGTGGGTGGTTCCCTACAATGGGCGTGGCATGACAGGTCCTAGCTCCGAAGATTAGTGCTACCTGAACCAGGGAATGTAGTTCGTCTGATTACTTTCCATGGAAATGGCGACAGAGCAGCGACAGAGGCGTGAGACGTCACGTCTGTGAAAGGCGTGATGGAGATGTCGAATCCCAAATCAATCAATTAGTTCTCTCTCTCTCTCTTTCTTTCTCTCTCCCCTCTCTATCTACCCCTCTCTCTCTCGCTCTCTCTCTCTATATATATATATATATTAGGTTGGTGCGAAAATAATGACGTAATAATGTTTTTTTGACGTTACAAAATACGTCAAAAAACGACATTAGTACGTCATTATTTTTGCACCAACTAATATATATATATATATATATATATATATATATATATATATATATATAAAAATAAAAAAGGCTTAAACACTAATATTCCATGGTCATAATTTATTCCATTGGAATCGTAAATACGATCAATTCATCAGACCTACAAAAGTATGTATATTTTCCCCTAATATTATCTATCCATATATATATATATATATATATATATATATATATATATATATATTAGATAATGAAAAGCTTGATAATTCGTATGGATAATCCCGAGAAGGATGTAATCCAGAGAGCTCAATGTCAAACCAGAGCAACTATTAATTTAATTAGAAAACAGAAAAACTTAAGGGTCCATCGATTATATTTTATTTCCCCAGATAGGTGTTTTTCCTGTTTCGTCAGGTTCAAGGATAAAAAGATGGTTTTAAATTTACGTATTATTTTTAATAAAACTAATACGTAAATTTAAAACCATCCTCCTTGGGATTATCCATCGAGATTACCAAACTTTTCATTACCTAACTATATATATATATATACACACTAAAATAATACATTTACGTATTATTTTTATTAAATACATAAATTTAAAACCTTTTTTTACCATTGTAAATGTGATCTGACGAATCAGGAAAAAACACCCACCTAGGGAACTAAAATATAATCAATGGACCCTTAAGGTTGCCTGTTTTCTAATTAAATTAATATATATATATATATATATATATATATATATATATATATATATATATATATATATATATATATATATGTATATATATATATGTATGTATCTATATATATATGTATGTATCTATATATATATATATATATATATATATATGTTTTAACACTTTATGCTTTATTATTTTTAGCGTATTGGCTTCTGTGCTGAGATTTTTTCGAGTATAACTGCTTTTCAGCTAAACGGTGCGATGGATAAATTATCGTCAAAATTACTTACCAACTAACCATGACAACTTATTTTAACAGATATATTTACCAAAATTACACAGAAATATCTTGAAATAATAAATTTATTCAAAATCGTCAACCACTGCCTCCAGACAACTTCGGAATCTCCTGCAACTCTTCTGGACGGTCTCCTTGTTTAAATTGGTGAATGCTGCCATAATCCTTACCTTCAAGTCATCTTTGGTGTTACAAGGAGTTTTGTTGGTCTCTCGCTCAATTGCGCCCCACACATAATAATCAAGGGGGTTGCAGGCTCGGGAGTTAGGTGGCCAGATGTAAGGGGTGATCTGGTCGCAGAAATTATGTAAACTGCCATGGCTGTATTCTCCTGCTTGTGTGGCATAGTGCAGAACCCTGTTGCTAGACATAAGGTCTTCTAGCAGCCACCCTCTTGTCCCAGTGCAGCACTACCTCCACAAAGAATTTGATCTAGGCCTCCATCTTGAATCTGAGGCCCTCACTAAAAAATTCGGTAATTCTTTTCTTATCAGACCTGTCGGAGTGACTTCCCCCAGCTGCCGTACTTTGGTAATCACCATTAGACTCATCCAACTCTTTCCGATTCATCTGCCCTGTCGTCACATTGACACTCAAACACTGTGAAATGTTCGTATGGGAGAATTCCGGCTTGAATTCCAAACAGTACAGCATGCCGTTTCCAAATTTCTGGCGGAGTGAATTGAGTCATGGTGTTCCTTTTTCTCAAAGATGGCACGCAACTGACCTTACTATGAGAAGTCGACAAAATAAAATAAAAAAAAACAACACGCATGCGCGAAATGAAAAATATAAAATGGCGACAATTTACCCATTCCACCCTCTATATTCATTCTCTATTTTTAAAAACAAAAAGCAGAGTCTAATTTTGCACAAACATAATAAAAATTTTACTGTTATATATTTATATGTGTACTTACACCCATACATCAATGTGTATACATGCATAAATGCGTATATAGATGTGAATTAGGTGTGGTTGTGTATGAGGGAAAGGTGCATATTTATATAATTGCAAGGTTGTGTGCATATATTAGTGTAGAAAATTGAGTGTCATTTTTTTTTTAAATTATGAAAATGCTTCCAGACAGTGGCGGGTGAAATACTAACCTTTCACCTGCTATAAGCTTATTAATTCTTTCCAGGGTTTTCACGCCTACATACAGCACCACCCCATTGCACTAAAATTCGTAGGCTCGGGTCTGTACTCTCATGCCAGTCGTGTATCAAACGGCAAGAAACGAGAGAACTGTGAGAGGTTTGAAATTAAACCTGACCTTGTGCCATCTCAAACATGACTTGATCTTATTTTCCATCGCATGAAAGTAACGCGTCATTTTATACTTATTTATGGGAAATCGTCAAAGTCTGATCCCAAAATTCGGAGAACTACAACGTCGCGCACACACTGGCCAAACGATCCGTATTCGAAAATCCTCTCTAATCAAATCATATTGAGAGAAAAGCTCTGGGTACGCCCCATTGTGGCTATTTATAGCTTAAACGTCATTGGAAATCACGTGTTTCTCACGCACCCACAATGTACATGATTGCGTTTACACCGAGGCGTATAGATGAGGGTACGCGAGCACGCAAATTGGTACTTATAATTTCTATCTATCTATCTATGTATCTATATATCTATCACAGGCTGTTTATATCTATCTATCTATCTATCTATCTATCTATCACATGCTGTTCATATCTATCTAGCTATCTGTTTATCTATCTATTTATCTATCTATCTACCTATCATATGCTGTTCATTATCTATCTATCTATCTATCTGTTTGTCAATCTCTCTCTATGTAGCTAAGTAGTTCGCTTTTTGTTTCTATCTATCTATCCCAATTAGTTCATATCTATCTCAGTCCGTTAATACCTGTGTTTCCAAGTCGGTCTAGTCCCCTCTATATCTATCTATCTATCTATCTATCTAGTCAACTCACTAGCCTTTTGTTACTAACTATCTATCTATCTAGTCAACTCACTAGCTTTTTGTTACTATCTATCTATCTATCTATCTATCTATCTATCTAGTCAACTCACTAGCTTTTTGTTACTAACTATCTATCTATCTAGTCAACTCACTAGCTTTTTGTTACTATCTATCTATCTATCTATCTATCTAGTCAACTCACTAGCTTTTTGTTACTAACTATCTATCTATCTAGTCAACTCACTAGCTTTTTGTTACTATCTATCTATCTATCTATCTATCTATCTATCTATCTAGTCAACTCACTAGCTTTTTGTTACTAACTATCTATCTATCTAGTCAACTCACTAGCCTTTTGTTACTAACTATCTATCTATCTATCTATCTATCTATCTATCTATCTATCTAGTCAACTCACTAGCTTTTTGTTACTATCTATCTATCTATCTATCTATCTAGTCAACTCACTAGATTTTTGTTACTATCTATCTATCTAAGTAGCAATCTATCTATCTATCTATCTATCTATCTATCTATCTATCTACCTATCTATCTATCTATCTATCTATCTAAACGTCTAAAGTAGTTCTTAAGTTCATCCATTAGCAGGTTTACTCTGTATATATATATAAGAGTATATTTCTTTCTTTCTTTCTTTCTTTCTTTCTTTTTTTCTTTCTTTCTTTCTTTCTTTCTTTAGACACGGTTCTTATACAGAACCGCTACACATTAAAACAGCCACACATCCATATATAGAGCTAGATATGAGCACACACACTCGCACACACATACACACACACACATATATATACATATATTGAGATAGATAGATAGATCTGTAATAGATATCAATAGACTTCGACTGTTCGATATTTAGCAACACCAAGTTACTTTCTAGCCAGCAAGACAGGAAAAGCAATTACATACATATAAACGGTTATTTTGACGAGACAGAGACAGAGAATTATATATATGTACATACATACATACATACATATATATATATATAAAAGTGAACATTGAAGTCAACACTTAGAGGCGAGTCTGTTTCATGCTAGACGCAATCGTCAGGCCGCCTGACGATTCCGCCTAGCATGAAACAACCTGTCGCCTCTGAGTGTTGACTTCAATGTTCACTTTTATATTTACATACGCTCTATCTCTGGTTTTGAGCACTTTATCCCATAAATATTGCAGACCTTAAGACTATATTTCTTCAAATATATATATATATATATATATATATATATATATATATATATATATATATATATATATATATATATATATATATATATATATATATATATATATATATATATACATACATATATATATAGAGAGAGACATGAACTGACTATGATAGATAGATAGATATGAATATATAATAATAATAATAATAGATAGATAGATAGATAGATAGATAGATAGATAGATAGATAGATAGATAGATAGATTTGAACAAATATAATTAATATTCATGTAATCTACATGGAGTTGGCATGAACTGTGTTTGAAAAATGAAACCCTCATACCTGACCTTCATTGTGTAAGTTGAAGGGTAATTTTCTCATTTCGGAAAAAATTATTGTGTAGCCCTAAATACATACATACATATATACATATATATATATATATATATATATATATATATATATATACAGACACACACACGCACAAGCACACACACGCACAAACACACACACATACACACACAAAACATATATATATATATATATATATATATATGTGTGTATACATATATAATCTTGAATTAAAAAAAATCGACATTCTGTGTAATCTGAAAAAAAAAAGGAAAAACTGAATATTCTCTGCCAGGTGTTCCAGGAATTATTGAGAGGTTGATTAAATATGAACCTTTTTTCCCAAATCTATGACATGGAAGTGCCATTTGCAGTGTGGAGAAGGTGAAAATACAAATCATGTTCAAAAGCGTCTACCCCGCCTTTGTGGGTGATGAATTATTTTCCACCTTTCCAATCCTTTTTTCTGCAGGCGAAACGTCGCAGGTCTGTTGCTTCTCTCAATTGAAAATATTCTGACGGGCTACATCCCTAATTTCCACTACGTCAAGCCTTTGCAGCTACACCCTGTGTAAGATGATAAACTCCTTCCGACAGCAAGGCTTCTGATCAGGAGGTTTTGAGGAGCCAGTCCCTATTTGCCGTTGTTCCCAGGTCCACCCCTACCCGGTGTTGTAGCACTTGTTAGGGTCCGAGCTATGGGTAAATATTGAACCTCCAAACCTCTCAATATCTCCTGGAACATCTGATAGAGAATGTTCAGTTTTTTTGTTCTTTCCATATTACACAGAATGATGATATTTTATTCAAGATTTTTTATTCAAGATTATATATATATATATATATATATATATATATATATATATATATATATATGAAGAAAAAATATATATACGGAAAAAACAAACAAAATCATTATATACAATTTATACTGTTTTAATGTTAATATGTCAAAGACGTCGGACGTTTAATGTCTAATAAACCATCTTCCTGAAGATGGTTTATTAGACCGAAACAACATGACAAAACGATAATAATATTGAAAATGTTATAATTTGTAATATATCTGATTTTTGTTTGTTTTTTTCCGTATATATTTTTCTTCATACTATCTCTATATCATCTATTTCCACACACACACACACACACACACACACACACACACACACACACACACATATATATATATATATATATATATATATATATATATATATATATATATATATATATATATATATCTGTGTTTTCTGTGTCTGTGTATATATAACTGAGTTAAAAAAAAAAAAAGATGAATGTATAGATAAAAAAAACAGATTTTTGCAAAAGATGATAACGATTATCAGCAATAGTTTGTTGTAAAAAGAAAAAAAATGCTCAAGCTACCAAGAAAATTAAATGCCGGCAGTAAATGACCCATAAAGTATTGATATTCTGTTAAATAAACAAAGAAAATTTCCATCTAAGACCGGCCATGATTTGTGCACACAAGAGCAAAACATTCCCATTTCCAACATATTCCATTAGTGAGACAGAAGTTACATTTGTTCGCTTTGTGGAACAAACTTCGTAATGGGTGATTTCTTGATCGATACAATTTTATCTATCCGACATATCCTCATAATCTTTTTTTCCAGTTGTTCAATCAGCACAAGCACCAAGATTCACTCAAAGCAGATGGTGTAAAAATAAGGTTGATCCGAGACTTGTAGAGATTCAGAGTCTACTGATCGGAAAGGCAGCATCGTCAACGTCTGTTCCACACAGTAGCGTTTCTTGGGTGTATCGCTCCTGATCTGGTGGCTCGGCTTCAATCACATTCCCACCGCGTCCATGTTCCTTTTCTATAAATACTTCCTTGGCAATTGTTCAGATGAAATCTTCGCTATGGTACTTAGAATCTATGAATTTAAGCACAGTACTAGATTAGTAACAAGGTCTCGTCATTTCAAAGTTGAATTTGCTAAATGTAACCGTAAGTTCTATGCTAACAGTTTCTTTTCTCACACTTCTCGCTTGTGGAAATCCCTTCCAGCTCCATGCTTTCCAGTCAACTTTAAACTGCAAAAATTTAAATGCAATGTCAATTGCTATCTACTGTCTTCCTGATTACTCTTCTGATGTACTCTTTCCTTAGTAATGTTTCTCTTGTCTAATTCTTCTACACCCAAAAACAAACAACACGCATGCGCGAAATAAAAAATAAAAAATGGCGACAATTTTCCAATTGCATCCTCTGTGTGTGTGTGTGTGTGTGTGTATTAATCAATTCACCCGAAGCAAGGCAATAATAAGACAAAAGGGTTTACTAAGTGTTAGAGAATATGATAAAAAAGCACTATTAAGGAGAGAAAACAATAAAAGATCACGAATTAAGAACACAGAATATAACGATTGACACTGCATTAAAATTTTTGATGATATATATATATATATATATATATATATATATATATATATATGTGTGTGTGTGTGTGTGTGTGTGTGTGTCTGTGTGTGTGTATGCGTGTGTGTTTGAATATATTAGTGCACAATGAGTTTAACACCAAGAGGCGACAGGCTGCTTCAACGTAATCTTCAAGACGTGTGTTGTGTTATGGCTCGACAGTTTCTATATGCTGGTCAGTGGTGCATATATATATATATATATATATATATATATATATATATATATATATAAATAAAATCCAAAATCACATCATATGGGGAACAATCTATTTCGGCAGACGAAAAAAAGGTTATCAGATTTATCTAACCCGGCGTGGACTGAGTTCATGTCAGAAATAGAAATTTAACTGTGAAAAAAAAGGAAAAGAGAAAGAGAGAGAAAGAGAGCATTCATGCTTGTGTGAGTGCATATGTGTGAGTGTATGCATTCATTTTTTATTTGAGTGTGCACTCACGCAAACATGAATACTCACACACACACACAAAAACCCTCACATACCGACTCAAACAAGAATGCGGGTGTATGTGTATGTGTGCGTGCATTCATGTTTAGTGCGAGTGCGTGCGTGAGGGTGTATGCGTATGTGTTTGCATTCATATTTATATGAGGGAGGGTGGCTGTGTGCGCTCGCGCATTCATGTGCGTGTGGGTGTGTGCACGTGTGTGTGTGTGGACACACACGTGTACACACCCACACGCACTGTATAGTTTCCAGCAGGTCTTATTAAAACTATTCAACGTTCAGGTTTTAGGCATTGAAAAAGTACTCGCTAGGGACATCGATGGAAAGAAAAACGCACCCAACCATGCACACATACAGACGTGTTCACACACACACACACACACATATATATATATATATATATATATATATATATATATATATATAGATAGATAAATAGATAGATAGATAGATAGATTAATCTGTTATACTGTTAACATTTATATTTTTTTCGATTATTAAGATTTCAAGATATCCCCCCACACACATATATGTAATATAAAAATCTCAAGCACAATATTATATGTTATAATTTATTTCATTGGAAGCGTAATCACGACCCAATTCATCAGAAAAAGAAAACTGAAAAGAAGTTAGTAAATATAACAGGCTGATAACAAAAACACGGAGTTATATTTTCCTTTTTATATCCTGAGTTATGTTTTCTGTCTTCTTTTTGAATTTGTAGGTCTGATGATTTGGATCGTGATTACGATTCCAATGTAATAAATTATATAACCATGGAATATTAGTGTTTAAGTCTTTTATATTACATTCTTGCTCTCTCCTGAACATTGAGTTCTACCTGATTCTATCCTCTTGGAAAGTCACACACACACACACACACACACACACACACACACATATATATATATATATATATATATATATATATATATATATATATATATTGACCACTCATATTATTAATATGTATATATATATAATTATTTATTTTAAAAATTTATAACATAAAAATGTTATAAAATCACTAAAAAATATAGCCGTTTTGTTTCAACACTCCCGGTGTCTTATCAAGTGATGATGTTGAATGCAAAACAAATGGTTTTAAAAGTTTCAAATTAGTTAACGATCTTTCACAAGGGGAAAACGTTGTTCCAAAAGCTGGAATGACCAATCAAAATACAAGTATAGAAAAATTCAAAAAGCCTGACAACGAGGTCATGTTATAATAGCTATTCAGA